AAAAAAGAAAGACAGCTTTTATTGTACCATCTTCTTTTCCTACTTTCGTTCAGTGTATTTGGAATTTTAAAAACAGTTTATGCTTGGTACGGCATTTTTTGTTAAATATTAAAATTCCAAATATTGACCGCCACCCAATAATCAGACGTGTGTATCGAGCATTATATTTAAAAAACAAAAAAAAAAAACAGAAAAATATTATTTAATTTTTATCTGTTTAAGCAATAACAATTTTTTTTTTTTTTTGTCTTTACCTTTCAGTCTTTATTATTTTCACGAATATATCGCAATCAATCACAACTGAATTTATTCAGCTGTTGATGCTTTTTTCGCCCTTTTCCGATAATGTCAATTTTTTCGATGACATAAATAACAAAACAAAATTTTGCTTTATAATTAATAAAGCAACAATATCTGTAGCAATTAATAATGACAACAAACAACCAACAATAACGACGACAACGAAAACACTGTTTTGCCGAACATAGTTACATAGAAGTAACGATTGCATAAGAATAGATGAAAAAAAGTCACAGCAATTGTACAGTATTGTAAAACATAAAGAATCTGATTACCCGGTTATAAAAGCAACTGTTGACGGCATTTGGTAATACCAAATACCGTGAAATCAGTTTGGTTATGTGCTGCCTGCACTGTTAGAGAATGATTGGTAAATACCATCATTATAAATGCTATTTCCTGTCCCCTCCCTTCCCCTCCCCTTCGTTTCTTTAGTCATCTTATCATTGTTTTTGGCAAGAAAAGTTACGTAACTGTAAACTGGACATTTTTTTATTCGTTTATTTCAATGATTTACTTTACAGCCACATTGACAGCAAAACTTTGGAGTTATCTTATTAAACCAAACGAAACCGCATAAAATTGCCTATTTCTCGAAGACACGAAGCAAATGAAGTGTTCTGATGAGTTGATGCCACAAAAGTTGAAAAAACAAAATCTTTTTTTGCAAGCTAATTTGGTCTGTAATTGTTTCTGCAAGCTTTTTGATGAATGCTTAATGTTCTTTAAACCACTGTTTTTTATCGCAACAATTCTGAGACTGTATAATACTTTCTGTATACATTCCATACTTCAAAATTTCCAAACAGGTGGTTGCGCTGAAATCCGCCTGAAACGATCAAGTAACAAAAAATTGATGGATGCCATTACTAATAACTTACTAATAACATTTTGATTTAAATAAAGTCTATTGTTGTGTTTTTCGTTGTTGCTGCTGCAAAAAAAAACCTTAAGACAGCTTTATTTATGCATAAAAATTTTATTTACAACAAATAAAATAATTTGGTCATTATAAATCTGTTCATACAACCAATCTAACAAACAATTACCAAAATGATCTGTTCACTTTAAGAACAAAGTTACAGGAAAAAAAGTTATTAAACAAAAAAAATTTCTTCTCTACACTGCTATAATTTTAGAACTATTTTTGAGAAGAATAAAACGGCTTTTATTCTTTAAGTAAGTCAGTATAGTAACTGGCTTTAGATATAGAGAGGAATTGAGTACCCGATACAAGTTAGCAAAAGCATCTGCTGCAGAGATATTAATTTTATTAATACATTTTCTTCGACAGCTTTTGGAACAAAAAATTTAACAAAAAAGTTTCTGGAATATTTTCCAAAGTTACAGAAATAATTGAATTTTTTTTCAAGAGTAAATATAGTCAAGAAAACCTTAATCTGAAGTTTAGTGGTTACGTATGACTGTTAATACAACTAGAGATTGATTTTCGAAAGAGTTGAGTGTAATCTGTGGGAAAGTACAATTATTGATTTAGTAATCTCACGAAATCATGAAGGTGAAAACTGACAGTTGCTGGTTATGATCAGTAAACAAACTGAACAATTGCATGACTATTTGCTTACCACACCGAAAGTTGCAGTTAGAAATACTTATAGTGAGATTAGATTGTCACTTCCAACGTTCAGAAAAATTAACGACTGTCGTTTTCTGATTACACATCAACTTTACAGTTTTGCTGAAATTATCAATGACCAGTTACGAATGTTTATTTAAGCTAAGGTCCATGATCTGGAAATTTATAAGTGAAAAAAGATAAGTGTATTGCTTTTTTACAGCTAAAAATCAGGCTATACTAAAAAATTTGTGTACCATGTAAAAATTTTTCTTCAGACTGCTCTAACTTTGGCAGGCATTCTCATACAGAAAGTGACAGTGGAGTATCTGTCCAACGAGCTATAAAACGAAAAATGTCTTCCAACGCTTCAGTCGGTTTTGTTTTCTGCTCAACAACCAAACGATTCCAATTTTCTTGAGTAGCAAACTTTCCAGATGACCCAAAAGATTTAGAATCACTTTCAACAGCATAACCTAAAAATTGATAAGCGCTGTTACCGCATCAAAAGTGTTAGTTTTGTCTATATTAATCGAAAATATTTGTTACCAGAAATAATACATGGCTGCTGTCGAATGCTATTTGGCGTCAGCAAACTTCCTTCAAACTTTCCATCTTCACTTGTAATTGACGATTCGTCTACGCCAACTTCTACAGAAGCTGCCAAAACCCATTCCTTTACATCTTCATAATTTTCCTTCTAAAAGTAAATGACAGTAAATAGAAAAATAATATGTAATTTTAAGTCACTACATTTCTTAATACAGCTTTTCTAGAAGTTTCTAAATTTACAAAAAATTTGTAAATTCAAAAGCTTTAAGAAAAGCTAAGTTATAGAAATAGAATTTTTCATTTCTGGCTGATAATAAATTCCTTCAACATTAAATGCGATAACTGAAAAAAATTGCTTACCAGAATAACGTGTTTTTCAGGCAACGAAACTTCTTGAGGAATATCTGTACCAGTAAATTTAGCCATATCAATACCAGAAGGATCTTGTTGATCAATTGCATCGTAAAAATCCAAAAATAAGTTTAAAAATATAAAAGCTAATTTCTGCTTTTTCTTCCCTTGTTCCTGCAATAAATTTAGACAAGCATTTTGGAAGAACAGATATCAGCGGTTAATTTGCAAAAACGTATCTACGATATTTTACAAATTAGCTGTTATTTGTCGTAATTTTAAAATCTAAAAAGATCCTTAGAACAATTTCAATCTTTTACGACTTATAATCGAAAAAAAAAAACTTTTTCAACAAAAGTAAAAAGTGAAAACGCACTTTAAAAGCTTCCCCAGCTTCATAAAATACTTTTTCGGCATTCAGAATATCGGCATAACGTAACAAACTAACACTAATTTGTTGGCGAATTGTATGCATAAAAGTATTTGGACTATCACCCAAAGCGCACCAAATAGCTTTGTAGTGAGCAACCTCTAAGTACCTTTCAAAAACCTACAACTATTTGAAGTACCAAATGAAAGCAACAAGAGACTATCTTTTTTAACACGGTATTTCAGTCACTTTCTATCTTAAACAGTGATTAAATATTTTCTACTAAATTTAACCTCTTTTGCGTCAGCCGAACTGTCTGAAGAGTCAGCTAAACTGTTACAAACTGAATACATCATATTTCGCGTATGAGCCCATTTGTCATACGAACGCAAATACGTAACATCTGATTCCTCGTAAGCCTAAAAACTTCAGAAATATTGGTAAATGAAGCATCATTTTTGAATACCGTTAATAATGAACTGATACGTACCAATGTCAAAAAGTTTAAAACTTTTCAGACTAATCTTTGCCATACATTACAAAACTGATAATTTGCTGCGAGAAGGAAAACAAGCAATTAATACCTGATCAAATAGCAATCTGTACAGGTTAAAATTACTAGGGTTGGCAGAAGCGCCATACTTTTCGTAGGATTTTATAATCTCCAGATAGTTTCCAGAATCAATTAAAGATGTCGCATACAAAGCCAAATATTTATCCAGTAATGAACGATTCTAAAAAAAAGTTGTTGACCCCGGTAGTTTGGTTAAGGTAAAGCAGTTCTTTATTGCTGGTACTGACCCCTTTTTGTCGCGCAGTTTCCAAAGCTTTTTCCCACTGTCCTCTCTGAACCAGTAAATCAATTGCAGCTATCGTATCAACATCCATTAACTCTCCAAGCCTACCACTGTTCTTCAGTGATTCTTTATACTTTTCGTCAACATAACTTTCCATTTCAGGAGCAAATTCTTGAGCGACCTAAACATGAAGATCTCTAAGCTGTAAATTTTTAACTGCCTATTAATGGAGAATTCTTTTATAAAAGCAAAAGATTAACCGCAGCTACGTAAATCATAGATACATGACAGAAATATTATTCTTCCCACCAAATTATTTTTAAAAAAAAGTTTTAAAAATATGCTTCAAAAAATCTCCTTCAATGTTTATCAATTATTAGTAGTCATCTCGTCGCATAAGATGCACATTTGTGCAATTGTGATGAAAGGCAAGAATGAGCGAAAGTAAAAAAAACTTCACAATACAGATCAACATAATAGTCGCAATTAACCAATTGACACCCTCTACCAAACTAAAAAGAACAGTCTTGCCATGAAATATGAGAAGACTAAATAGCATAATTTACATGTTCTAAATAGTTGTTCAACTGTGACAGCCTGTGAAATTAGAGGAAGTATAAAATGTAGTTAATTATAAAGACGTATAAAGATCAGTGACCTGCCACTTTGGAAACATCAATTCAAGCAACCCTCTTTGTGACTGGCCAACTCATTTCTCTCTTCTGATTTGTTTTTCTTCTGTATTTCATCTTTCAACTTTGGTACATGCGTAAATGATATGTTGCTTTTGGAAAGTAATGTTAGTTGCGCGTTGAATTCGTCGTTTCGTCATTAGGGTTCAAGTTAGAAAATCAGAATGGAAACTAGGAGTCTGGATAAAATCCTACCTGACAGCAACTCGTATAACAAGCGGGAGAACCAATAGCGTCAAGAAGAGTTACAAAAGAAAAGAAAAAGGGAAAAAACAGGAAAAAAAGGATAGTGCAGACAGACCGTACCTTGCTATAAAAAATCAGTGACACTAAGCATTAATGACTTTCCTAAAATATCAAGATGCTCTTACTAAGCTTTAATCAGAGCAGCTTTTGCGTACAGAATGACATTTGCTACTTTGGCTCAGAGTACATTCATTACTATTGACCTAAACTATAATTCTGTGACTTTTTACCAGTAAAAAAAAAACAAAAATCAAGTCATAAAGCGACAATCAGTTTTAACAATCCTGCTTACATCGCTACCCATTTCCTCAATATTCTGTTTGTTTGTTATTGGCTAAGCTTGCTATTATTTCGTAGTGATTAGTTTTGGAGGAAATGAATGCGCGATTGAAATGCACCTCTTTTCAATCCATTGTTTTTATTGACTTTCGCACTTTTTACTTTCGGAACAAAGTTGTTGTACCATAAATCTGTAATCATAACTAACAGCAGTGTAAAAAAAGGTGCCAATTTATGCCCTACAAATACATATCAACGTAGCTTTATCTAAACGAAAACTGTGACCGTAGTACAAATCTAATATGATACTCATATAGCAGCTGCGTAGCACGTGGTGACTTTTGAAGAGGCAAACTTAAGTTTCATGACAGAATTTATTAATGGTACAAAGAAAATCCAGTTCCTTCGCTGGAATATGAAGATTTGACACAGCCCAACTTATATTCTCTTTTCGTTTAACTTACTGATTCGCTTTTTCCCGCTGATAAATTCGTATCTTTGCAACTATCGTTAGTGTTATATGGTACTTTTCTATTGAAGAACTCTTCAATTATGGCGTATTCTTTATCTATAGTTCTGTTTTTTTTTTCATCACTTAACATACCGCATTCTGACTGTTGTATTTTAAAATCAAGTACATTCGCGCTGATTTAGGCTTTAAAACCTGTTTAAAAACATGTTCTTGACCGTTTTACCGACTCTGCTCACTATAGTTGAAGTAAAATTATGCCGTTATTCTTAAATTAGTATAAACCATATTCCTGTACACTTTATACTCTAATGAAGTTCTTTGAAAAGCCTAAGTAATTATGCTGAACAGTGTCTGAAGTTTGATTATGTGTAATTGATGTATAAAAAATGCGTACTGCTTTTGCCTTTGTCCAGTTTTCTGCTTTGATATAAGCAGCAATTGCATCTTCAGGATTGTCTGTACGAAGTGAGAATTCTGCTGCTTCTTCAATCCTGAATACTTTTAGAGCTTATACAGATTCTCATATGTATTTTTTCTGTCCCCTTATACATGTCCATTTGGTATAAGGACTGAACTCTGCTAAGGCAGAAGATGTAAGAAGAAAAAATAATAAAATATTATTAGCAGTAATTCAAACCTGTTACACTGAATAAGACGTTCGGCAACAATCTTAATTTTTTCTTTTGCTTCTCTTGTTGGCAAAAATTTTATAATAAGCTCTCCAGCCTAAAGAAAGTGAACTTTATGAACGTTAAAACATTGCTGCAGAAAAAAATAAGTAAAATTTTTGTGCTAAAAAGCCTACTGATGTTTGGTCATAAAAATGTATTTTAAAACTAATGATCATTAAAATTTACTCGCATCATTACTGCAGCAACTGTCTCTATGTCATCTGTAAGCGTACTGTTGACTCTTAGGTAGCACTCTAAAGCGTTATGATATTCGCCCTGAGCTTCCCAGTCTTCGCCTTGTGCTATGTAGGATAACGCACCTTTAGCTCCAGAACGAAGCTGTACCTCATCATACTCCTCCTTCAAATAATTATTAACTTATACTTTTCTAACATCTTCTTTCCCAGTTGACCAGTTTTACCAAAAGCCAACCAAATCAGGCATTATGAGTCTAAAAAAGTTTGCAACTTACAACATGCTCTTTGAAAGTAGTAGTTTGATAGTTATTTGTATTAAAAGTTGGTTCCAGAAATAATTAAATCAGCACAAATATAAAAACCTGTATTTGAGCAAAACTTGAAGGAATATAATCCTTCGCAATTCTTAAGGCTTCATTCCACATATTCTGATCTTTATAATATTGTAAAATAATATCTGGACGATTGGCTCTTAGCAGACAACTTTCGGCCTCTGCATAATCTCCGTTTTGAATAACAATTTTTGCTTTTTCCATCAGAATCTCATTTAGCACTTGTGGGCAATAACGCCTTGAAAAAATCTTTTCAATCTATTTCTTGACCCTCTGACTAAATGCTTTCCTGGCTGTCTTTTCTAATCAACTTACCTTGCAATATCCTCTGCTTTGTTCCATTGACGTAAATGAACGTACATAAGAACTGCTTCTTTCGGACTGTTACCTTTTATATAGTGATCTTCAGCTTCCTCATAGTTACCTTCCTCTTCCAATATTATTGCATGTTGCTGATTTACAAAAGGAAGTTTTGATTGGTCTCCTATTCGACAAAGTTCATATGCAAACTCGAATGACCTTTAACAGTTAAAAGTTGGTTAGAGATAGTCTTGAATGTCTAAAAAACTAAAAGCTCGCGCTTGACCAACTTTGTTTCAGTAATATCATGTAAATTTAATTATTATTAGACTGTCTTTAATTTAAAATATTTTTAAAGTAATTGGTGTTTAAAATGTGATTTTGAAAAATGACTTATTCTCGCAAGCATAATCGATTGTTTCTTTAACCAAGTCCAATTTCACTAGTAGTTTCATAGCAGCATCACCGCCTCCGAGGCTCCTTGCCCATAAATATGCGACCTATAACGTCGCTTTTGCCAATCATTTGACACTGTCTGTTTTTAAAAAGCAAAATCCATATCAAATATAAAAGCCAAAAAATATCAAACAAATAATTTAATATTATTCTTTTAGTTCTCTGCTGATCCCGTATTTCACCTAAAAATTTGTCTTCCAAACTTTGAAACTTTATTTTTGCATATTCTAAAAACAAAAGTTTCTTGCTTAATATTACATATGAAACGAAAGTCTGAAAATTAGCACAAATAATGTCCATTTTGTTGTCCCGTCTATCTTTTGAAAAAATTCTCCAAAAAAATTTGTAGGTGCTGGAAAATTTTTCTTTATCGTAAGACAAACTCTTTTTTGCGCTACGTCATTGCCGTAATCTTTTGCTATACGGAATGCATCATTCCACTTTTCGGCAGTTCTGTACATATTTACAGCGCTTTGCCAGTCGTTAATCTTCAGGTAGTAATTTTCAGCAGTTTTCATATCTCCGCCATCCTCCAAAGCGTTTCCAATGCTTTTATAGGTTTCCTAAATAAAGTTCTACGTTACCGATTTATGTCCAGTAGTTTCAAAGTGACATTTACAATCGGCTTTAGTCAAAATTTCTGAAATTGTCAGCCAATGGTTATTATATTTGAAGAACACATTAATATACCGCTGTTTGCCAGTAATGAAAGAATACTTACTGCCAAGCGTTCAGGATAGTATTTTCCAACAATAGCAACTACTTGGTCGAATCTGTTAGCCAAGCGGTACATATCAGTAGCTTTACTAATTTGTCCGAGAGATTCATAAAGCTGCAAGTAAATTTGTTTGTGAAATTAGGTAAAAACTGCTTTACAACACTTTGAAGGAGGTTGTTCAGTACTGGCATTTTCAAGCAGCTATATTGATTTTACCAGAAAAGCAATACAGTATTTATAAAGTGTTGTAGAAAATAGCAACAATCAAAAATTTCTCACTTTAGCAGCATCTTCATATTCATTCGTATTTTCCATTCTTAAAGCTAGCTTTCCATAAATTTCTTTGGTGTCTTCTTGACCCAGAAATTCTGAGGCAATCTGTAGTTGCATCTTACAGCTACTTTAAATGTTAAAGAAATATTTGTAAAATAATAAGTGAGTAGAAGGCTTATTAAACGGAAGTTATGCATAAATATATATATATATATATATATATATATATATATATATTAGTTTATATATATATATATATATATATATATATATATATATATTATATATATATATATATATATATATATATATATATATATAGCACATATTAGATAATGTTTTGATATCATTCATGTGACATCATTCAATTGAATTAAATTATAGGCAACTGAATCACTTTGACGCAAACCAAAGAAAAAAAAAAGAGGTATTTTAAAGTACAGAAAAAAATTCGTTATAAAAAATTATAAGTTTTGATTGTCACCCTATATGAGTCAGTCCATCGATGTGCCTTATTATACATTTCGATAGCATCCCGTTGTTGTCCGGCTTCGACATAAAACATTTCTGCTCGCTATAAACAATTCCTTCATCAGTAATCAAGTCAAAAATTACGAAAACAAGAAGCAAAATAATATTTACTTCAAGGTCACCAATTTCAGCATAGTGTTCAGCAATTTTACCATAATATTGCTTGGAAACTGAATTATCCTCTAGTGCATCAGCTATTTGTGCCGCTTTACTCCACTGTTTAGCAAGCGTTGCTGCTTCCAAAGCTTTCGCCGTTTTTCCGCTTTCTGAAACCTAATGGACACTGACTAATCAATTACAGACATGTATACCACGTTTAAAACGCAAAAAAAGATCAAAAAATCCGTTAAATTGCAGAAGTTCTCGTTGCGCCACCTAAATACATAAGTCTTCATGCGAAAAAACTTGAAAGCATATCAACTTGCTCTTTTCGCCATTGAGCAGCGATACCCGCTAACGTGTTTACAATGATAGTAACAGAGATTATAAGCGTTTTAATTCATTTTCTAAAGTTTTTACACGATTTTTTAACGAAAAAATTCTTCATATCGAAATTTCTAATGTATAAAATTCTCATTAAAATACCGAGG